GTGTGTTTTCGTCATTATTACAACAAACACACACTTGCAACTGATAACACTGGCAATGATTTTAGATGTATTAGACTATTAAAAAAAGAAATCATGCTTCAAATAAGTGGGGGTACGGCGTACCCCCGCGTCCAACGCCCACTACACCACTGACTGCAACTACAAAAAGCTAAGGTTTGTTTTCTCATCAGGAAATGCAGACCGGCTCAAACAAAAGATTTTTAAATCATCATCCTCACGATCATTTAATGTATCATATGTTCGCCGAATTGACATGAAAGCACTAATAAATTTAGTTTCATCCACTTGAGTTTACAAAAATAATCGATTTGTTTTTATATCAGATCCGACGGGAGGAAATTCAGCAGCTCTCACTACCGATTTTTAATCCTAATTTAATCATCATCTTCACCACGATCATTTATGTTTATGTTCGCCGAATTGACATGAAAGCACTGACAAATATGAATATACTGTAGTCAACTTCATTAAAACGTTATTAACGTGCCTAAACTCAGTAATTCACCATTTTACGCATGACAACACACTTTGTCCGTGTTTGGCTCTCTCGCCGCACAGTGAAGCGTTCCAGCATTGACGTCACTTCCGGCTTCCCCCAAAACCTCAAAATGAGTCGAAGGAATTTTCCCGCGATGTTCGAAATTATTGATATTTATCGGAACGGTATCGCTTTTTCTTTTTTAAACTGACGGTTCGAGATTACTAGTAGCCCACTATTTCATTGCACAACAGTTGTTGGGTTCGTGTCACAGGCTCTTTAAGCATGCACACAGTCGCACTTCCTCCCTCATCATCATCACGTCTCTGTGTTCAGGCTGGCGTGGTGCTACAGACCTACACGCCTCCACCACATCTCCTGCCTGTAAACTGGTGAAGAAGGAGAGGAAGGAGTCAGAGGAGGATGAAGATGAGATACTCAGTAAACTACAAAGGGACGATGTGAGTACTTTCCACCTTAAGGGATAGATTCACAATTGTTCCAGTTTGTGCCACAATAACACACAAATTACTTACATGACAGGCCCACTGAAGATCATAAATTGGCTGGGTTATTTTGAGTGGAATTGTATTTATTCTTGCGCTGCTGTTAGTAGTTAATAGGCTTTTTTAACTTCTTAACATTTATTTTTTATGATGAAGACTAGGACAATACAGCACAATCAGTGAAAATAAAACATGTATAATAAAAGCATAAGTTCAGTTCACAATGCATATAAATCAGGTACGTTTAAACAAACAAGGAATTTTTTCTTTGGTGTCTGGTGGTGCAAACATAAACAATTTAATAAAATAAGTTGCAATAGTAGGTAAAAAATATAAAGATAACAAAAATAAGTATTTTTAAGAAGACAAGTACATTTACACCAAATGTAAATGTAAATATACAAAGGCATTGTTAAGGTCCTACACATTTGTAACAATCCTATTTTTCCCAATAATTATTCTCCTTTTGGAGTTGTAGAGTAAAAGTTACTTTCTTTGTTGAGCAGATAGATTAGTCTATTTTTTGTTGATAACTGGAAAAATTGCACATTAAAGCTTTTAAACAGACACATTGTGGACCTTTCTAAAACCTAATATTTGACATAGTGTCACCTCATGAGGTTGTTGTTGGTATTTTATTATTACTCTGATGCCTACATGCAAAGAACAACATTAGAATGTATTGGTTGTGGTTTTGTTCAGCTGACCTTTGTAAATCCAATATTTACTCCTCTTGGATCTCTGGTTGGTTCTCCACCAACTCCTGAGAAAATATCTGGCTCTGACGGACAGACGCCTTTCACTTTAGAGACAGTTATTTGATCAACTGTTTGTATACAAATAATGACTTTTAGATCAAACCATAAACTAAATTAGGGCGCCCCAACTGCATGCTTTTCCTTAGTCTTTTTAGTTTGGAGTGACAAAGCATGGCGTATTTCAAATAGTCTTATTCACAATTAGGATGTAAACTCTGACTCACTGTGACAAAACTGACACCATCATTTTTCCGTCTAAACCTGGAAGACAGTAAAAGTGTGTTTTTAGTGAGTTTAATGTGGCGGTTTGCCAGCAGACAAAGAAAGTTCTGATGTTTTCCAAATGTTAATCTGCGTAGCATTCGTTTATAATGACTGGTGAGTCAGTAAGTTGTAATTGATACTGATATCAATAGTAATAAATATCACTAATCATTTTGGTCATTACTTGTGTTATATTTTTACCCTCAGTTCATAGATGATCCAGGTCTGAGGAACGATGAAAAGCTGACGCCCATCCAGCTGCCTCTGTGTCAGCCCAGCAGCTTCTCAAAGACACGGACATCCAGCACATGTGAGAAAACCTCCTGTGACTAAAGTACTGCTACTGTCTGATGTTTAGTAATCTCATTACGTCTTGTTTAGTCACTGAATCTGCTTTTCTAGCAGCTACTCTCAGTATAAAAAAAGCAGAATTATTTCAGTCCATTCTGGTGGTGAAGTGTTTGTCCTGTTGGCAGGTCCAGAGAAGCCTCGTGTGTTCAGAGCTCCATCCTGTAGAGCCGGAATCAGAACAGAGCTGCCCAGAGCAGAGCAGCCTTCTGTGGGAGAGCTGCTGCAGCAGCTCAGACTGTCGGACAGAGAGGAGCTCTTCTTCATGCAGCTTCCTGACAGCATGCCGGGCAGAGCTGCACAGAAAGTGGACCCCCCTCCAGCACCTGCAGCAGAGAAACCTGACAAGAAGGAAGGCAAGCTTGCAGACAAGAGGCCGGCACAGCTGCAAGCACAGGTGAGTCAGAATGAAGCAGTGCTGTGTTTATAAGCCAGTGTTCACCAGTGGACATACGGCTGAACGACTACAAGCTAACCACTAAGGTTTCTCTGATAGCTTAAAATCTAGATATCCAATTTAAAAACCTTATCCGGTCTGTATAGTGGTAAAAAATACCAAGATCAAACAAAATGTATCGTAAAAATGTAGCTTAAAACTGGATAAAAAGTCAATTCATGACATCGTCTGACAGGCACGCATACAGCATACTCAAAGGGAAATGACTGTTACCTTGATTAAAGTTAAAATGTCCCTTTGGATTGAACATTTTTGGAAACTTTTGGGATAAAAACACACATCTCAACAAATAAAAAACAAAACATAATTACATTTTTTTAAAGATATTAAAATGTGATTTACAGATAATTGGAATTGTCAGTCTAGCAGCCGTTGGTCATTTAAACCCAAAAAATGCTTTTTGCAGCCAGTTATTAACAGTCTGTGCGTGTCCTCAGCAGGTGCCGCTGAAGGAAGGCTGTCCTGTGCTGTCCCAGCTGCCTGAAGGATTTCTGGGTAAACTGCAGATCAGGAAGTCCGGAAAGGTGGAGCTGAAGATGGGTCAGGTTGTGATGGACGTCTCTGAGGGAGCTGCTTTCTCCTTCCTGCAGGTACTGGGTGGTGACTAGGTGCAGTTTACTGAACTTAAACATTTGCAACACCAGAATATATCTCTGCTAATAAAGTGAAACAAATCAATTTTGTCTCTATTAATGTGGAAGCTTTCTCTCCTTTCTACTCAGCAACTGGTGTCTGTGCGTCTGTCTGACGGTCGAACTGGAGACATGATGGTGTTGGGAAACGTCCGTCACAAACTGGTCTTGTCTCCTGACTTCCAGGCGTTACTGAGGGAAGCTTCACCACAGCAGTCACAAGGACCCTGAACGCCTCTCGAGGTCACTGACTCTTTGACACTGTGTACGATGGCTGATCGGATGTTGTGGGATCACACCCACACACCACTGTGAAGGAAGTGACCTGGAGTCTAATATATTCTTCATACCTCTGGTTTGAGGTTAAGGCAGCTATGCAGGCTATCAACGGCAACCTGCATTATTTGTATGCTTGAATTGAGCCTAGCACATTTTAAATATCGTGTGATAGAAAAACAAACTCATAAACAGTTTTTACCTCTGATGTGAAGACACTGCCAGTTTTTGGAAAGATGCTTTAAAATTATGGTATTAGAACCCTCCCCACTGATCTACAAGGACTCAATTGTAGATGTTACCTGAGCACTGAATACCTGTTAACTGATGACTTCTCTCACTCTATCAGTTGTAAATGCACCAGCAGAGCACTCAGAATGATAGTGACACCAGGTTGTTATCATATGCCGGAAGCTTCCAGACTTTAGTCCAACACTGAGTGACTGTAATTTGAATTTACAGATTCTTTCATAATGGAACTTTCCCATGCTTCAGTGTATCAGTCTGACAGTGTGGATGATAGTTGATCCAGTAGATGCACTTATTGCAGTTACATTTTCTCTCCACTAGATGGCGCCTACTATACATTTTGTATTCTGATCTGCTGTTAATCTGTTACTTCCTCTATTTTTAATTGTCTGTTTTAACATGCTTTGTATATTCTATTTTTGTAAACCTGTAATTATCTCTTGAAGAAAATAGATTTGAATGTCAAGGGACTTCCTGGTTAAATAAAAAAACAACTCATGTACAGCTGGAATGTGTCACTTTTGTAGTATTTTGCTAACAGCAGTATTATTGTAAGATTCACGTTGTGTGTTTTTTAACCTGGATGTGTTTTTGTTAAACTTGAAGACACGTTCACCTCGAAGCTTTATGGAGAATCTTCAAAGCAGCTGCAAATCCAGATGTTGATGGCCTTCAGTGTTTAAAATTGTCACAGTAAAACTATTAGTTTCTGGAGGCCTTCAGAACGTTTCGAAAAATGTCAATTGTTTAAAACATTGTTGATTAACATTAATGTTTGCTTGAAGCTAAATTGTGTGGTATGTGATGCTACAAAGCAGTAAATAGCTTATTCCATTATTTTTAGAACTGATGCAGATCAACGATTCAAGGTAATTGAATTTAATTGAAGATCATATTGTGATGGCCATCAGAAAAAATGGGACTTTAAAGGCCCCACAGAACAGAATCTGCTGTGTTTTTGCTCTGTATGTTACACATTTTGCTGGGTTGGCGAGGTCATTGAAAATCTATACACACGTCTGGATTTGACTTTGGCTGAAACTTCTTGATTATAAAAATGTATAACTTAACTAAATTGGGAAGGTTGTGTTTTAACACGTGCCACATTCATCCGTACAGTTACAGTACTGATGACCAGAGGGGACCAAAACATGGGCCCCTCTTTGAAACAAAAACTTATGAGTGTTTTGGCCATTCTGAACCAACAAGCCTGAGCAGACACATTTAATGGGGCTTTGACTCCTATGAGAAAATTAAGTTTACATGGGTGCTTTTGTAATTCAGCTTTGACTGTAGCTTTGCTAGCATAAACATGTGCATAGTCTCACTGAGGCAGTTTGCTTAAGCATAAAGGAAGGCTCTTTTGAAACATACCAGAGATGAAGGGTGTTTGAGCATTTATGTTAACAAAACAATCATTTGGATGAAGGCGCAGTAGGAAAAAGCACATTTTATTATCAACCACAACAGCTTTTTTACAGCAGTTAAAAGAAAAAAGCATCTCATACAATCTTTAACAAAAAAAAAGTATATTTTTGAAACCCAAAATGTCAGTCAACTGTCTATGATTATGGCATACATGAAAAATAACAGTATTTCAGTTTGAGGTTGCGACTGTAAAAGGTGACGCTACATCGATAAGAGTGATGAGATATATACTTCAGTGAGGTTGCATTCATGGCTCATCTTTAGGGGAAGCGGTGTCTGTAAATATATATTTTCTTTTTTCTTTTAATTAAACAAAAAAGTGTTTGCTTTGGGACTGCAACAGTAACCTTTATATTCGCTCAAGTATAGTGTGGTAACACTCAGGGCTATGAAACCTTTTACACACTGCAGACAGAAATGTAGAAACCTTATCTGAAACTCCTTTAATAACTTGATTTAAATGTCTAAGCCCATGAAATCATTATATTGCATCTCTTTCTTAGCCAGGAACCATTGCACTTTATCAACCAAATGGATTTAAGAAACCAATAAGTCAGGATGAGTATTAGAGTCACATGCGTGCTTGTTATAATCCTGCTTTCCGGGTTTCAATTGTTACATTTCACTAAGCACAGGTGATAATGGTTTCTGTGAAATGATGTTGATCCGTCTGAATGATGTAAAAGCTTTGCCCTGTTGAACCTAACATTAATGACAATTGAGAACGTTGTCAAAAAGCAAGGAGAGCATGAACACTGTTTCCTCTTGGTACATGAACACACTGATGTGTTCATTTACTGCGGACAGTTTTGCTTGCAGTGGCCTTCTTCACTGTAGCTATAACCTTCTTTGTTCCTTTCTTGATTGTTTGAGCTTTAGCTGCAGGTTTCCTCTTGGTAGGCAGGATCTTCACTCGGACCAGGTCTGGTCGTCCAATCTCCACCATGTGCTCCTCCCACGACCTGATCTCATTATTATAGCGGATCTTGTCGTCCTGGGCCAGCTGTGTATAGATCTGAGATGAGGAGCAAACAGAGGAGATATAAATATACTGAGCAACAGGTCAATTCTTGTTTCACATTTGCAGCAGCATTAATGCCTTATAGAGTGGTGCAGTGATGAAGTATTTTTGTAGAGCGATCTGGCCGTTAGCATAGAAAGGGCTCCCTTGACAAACAGCAATGGCGTTGTCCCATTTTTGGAAAACAAAATATGTTTGTGTCACCTACAGACCTTATTTCAGGCTCCTTACCAAGGCCACATTTAAAAAAACACTGACTTCTAAACGAGAGAACAGGAAGTGGTAATATGCCAACTCATTTATAGTTTCAGGACTCAAACCAGCACCACTCTGTAACTGTAGGAATAAAGGACATGTAATGATTGTGCAACCAACCTGTTTCTGATGAAGTGAAAGAATCCTCCAGTCCTGCACCAGTGACTTCAGCTTGTCCTGAAGGGACAAAATGAAAACAAAGAAACCGCTTTGTAATTGTCTCTGTGTTTTAACAATATAAGCACTGAATCCTAACCGTTTTTACATGTCAAACTAGAGACACACTGGTCTAAGTCTAATTTATCCAATTTCATTTTTGATAATAAAATGCACACTAATGCATGTGCTGGTTTTATGAAGCACGGATGATGTTGTCAGTGTGGAAGTTCTTCAGTGTGAGGGAACAAGCCATTTCTTCCAATCAAAAATGTGTTATATATTGTTTTTCACCACTAGGTGGCACTATGACTCCGCAATTCTCCATTTTATAGGTAGAGCCCTCATGTCAATCAAATGAAGGTTATAGATATGTTGCACCTGTTTTGTTCGAGAATGTAAAACATTGTAAATAAAGTACAATATGGTGCAATTGTATTTCAGTTGGATTGTATTGGTCAAGTTTGTTTGAGGCAGGGCGAAACAATCCTGAAACTTGGTAGAGTGTGAGAAAATGAATTAGTTATATAGTTAATGTTTTATTACAACATCAAATCGAGTTTAAATATTTTCCATGGAAGAAGGTCTACACATGTCTTTGAGAGAACATTTGAATGGATTGGTCAGACTTTGCTCTTTTTCCATTCTGCCCATACTTCAAATGCATTGAAATCAGCGGCTATGATGCACGTCACATCGATGCAGCTGAAAGATGATACATTTAACATCAGTACATTATTTTACCGTATAATATTTTTTTTGTAATTACAGTTACCATTTTATCTTAAAACAATCTGTCCCGTTACTGACCTGTGGGGTGAGCCCTCTGGCCTCTGCATAGTGCTCCGAGACGAAAATGTTGACCGGGATGCGGTTGCGCTTTGGCTTCCCAAGGGTGTTTAACTCCTGGAACACACACACACACACACACACACACACACACACACACACACACACACACACACACACACACACACACACACACACACACACACACACACACACACACACAGTGACCTATCATGCAAAATGCACTTTTTTTACGTCTTTGATACTTGAATATGTGTCCCCGGTGTTCCAGGGAACTCACCAAGTGTCAGAAAACACAACCCTCTCTCTTTTCCTCCATACCCAAATCTCTAAAAACGGGGCTG